CTATCAATAACTTTCTGATGCTGATACACACTCCGTCCTCGTGCCACCAATAACGACAACATCGCATTGTTGTTACGCACTCAATCCTCGTGCCATCAATACCGATAAGTTCCTAATATTGATACACACTCAATCCTCGTGCCATCAATATCGATAACTTCCTAATATTGATACACACTCAATCCTCGTGCCATCATAACTTCCTAATGTTGATACACACTTCCTGTGCCAGCAATAACTTTCTGATAACTTGATACACACTCAGTCCTCGTGCCAGCAATAACTTCCTGATGTTGATACACACTCAGTCCTCGTGCCAGCAATAACTTCCTGATGTTGATACACACTCAGTCCTCGTGCCAGCAATAACTTCCTGATGTTGATACACACTCAGTCCTCGTGCCAGCAATATCGATAACTTCCTAATGTTGATACACACTCAGTCCTCGTGCCAGCAATAACTTCCTGATGTTGATACACACTCAGTCCTCGTGGCAGCAATATCGATAACTTCCTGATGTTGATACACACTCAGTCCTCGTGCCAACAATAACTTCCTGGTGTTGATACACACTCAGTCCTCGTGCCAGCAATAACTTCCTGATGTTGATACACACTCAGTCCTCGTGCCAGCAATACCGATAACTTCCTAATGTTGATACACACTCAATCCTCGTGCCATCAATATCGATAACTTCCTGATGTTGATCAGTATTCGTGCCAGCAATATCGATAACTTCCTGATGTTGATACACACTCAGTCCTCGTGCCAGCAATATCGATAACTTCCTGATGTTGATACACAGTTAGTCTTCCTGCCAACAATAACTTCCAGGTGTTGATACACACTCAGTCCTCGTACCAGCAATATCGATAACTTCCTAATGTTGATACACACTCAATCCTCGTGCCAGCAATATCGATAAATTCCTGATGTTGATACACACTCAGTCCTAGTGCTACCAATATCGATGACTTCCTAATGTTGCTACACACTCAGTCCTCGTGCCAGCAATATCGATAACTTCCTGATGTTGATACACACTCAGTCCTCATGCCAGCAATATCGATAACTTCCTGATGTTGATACACACTCAATCCTCGTGCCAGCAATATCTATAACTTCCTGATGTTGATCAGTATTCGTGCCAGCAATATCGATAACTTCCTGATGTTGATACACACTCAGTCACACTCATGCCAGCAATAACTTCCTGTTGATACACACTCAGTTGATACACACTCAGTCCTCGTAACTTCCTGATGTTGATACACACTCAGTCCTCGTGCCAGCAATATCGATAACTTCCTGATGTTGATACACACTCAGTCCTCGTGCCAGCAATATCGATAACTTCCTAATGTTGATACACACTCAGTCCTCGTGCCAGCAATAACTTCCTGATTTTGATACACACTCAGTCTTCGTGCTAGCAATAACTTCCTGATATTGATACACACTCAGTCCTCGTGCCAGCAATAACTTCCTGATTTTGATACACACTCAGTCCTCGTGCCAGTAATAATTTCCTGATGTTGATACACACTCAGTCCTCGTGCCAGCAATAACTTCCTGATGTTGATACACACTCAGTCCTCGTGCCAGCAATATCGATAACTTCCTGATGTTGATACACACTCAGTCCTCGTGCCAGCAATATCGATATACACACTTCGTTCCATCAATATCGATAACTTCCTGATGTTGATCAGTATTCGTGCCAGCAATATCGATAACTTCCTAATGTTGATACACACTCAATCCTCGTGCCATCAATAACGATAACTTCGTAATGTTGTTACACACTCAATCCTCGTGCCATCAATACCGATAACTTCCTAATGTTGATACACACTCAATCCTCGTGCCATCAATACCGATAACTTCCTAATATTGATACACACTCAATCCTCGTGCCATCAATATCGATAACTTCCTGCCAGCAATAACTTTCTGATGTTGATACACACTCAGTCCTCGTGCCAGCAATATCGATAACTTCCTGATGTTGATACACACTCAGTCCTCGTACCAGCAATACCGATAACTTCCTAATGTTGATACATACTCAGTCTTCATGCAAGCAAAAACTTCCTGATGTTGATACACACTCAGTCCTCGTACCTGCAATATCGATAACTTCCTAATGTTGATACACACTCAGTCTTCGTGCCAAAAATAACTTCCTGGTGTTGATACACACTCAGTCCTCGTAACAGCAATATCAATATCTTCCTGATGTTGATACATACTCAGTCCTTGTACCAGCAATATCGATAAATTCCTGATGTTGATACACACTCAGTCCTCGTACCTGCAATATCGATAACTTCCTAATGTTGATACACACTCAGTCCTCGTGCCAGCAATATCGTTAACTTCCTGTTGTTGATACACACTCAGTCTTTGTGCCAAAAATAACTTCCTGATGTTGATACACACTCAGTCCTCATGCCAGCAATATCGATAACTTCCTGATGTTGATACACACTCAGTCCTCGTGCCAGCAATATCGATAACTTCCTGATGTTGATACACACTCAGTCCTCGTGCCAGCAATAACGATAACATCCTGATGTTGATACACACTCAGTCCTCGTGCCAGCAATATCGATAACTTCCTGATGTTGATACACACTCAGCCTTCGTGCTAGCAATAACTTCCTGATATTGATACACACTCAGTCCTCGTGCCAGCAATAACTTCCTGATGTTGATACACACTCAGTCCTCGTGCCAGCAATAACTTCCTAATGTTGATACACAATCAATCCTCGTGCCATCAATAACGATAACTTCGTAATGTTGTTACACACGAGACCCTCGTGTCATCAATACCGATAACTTCCTGATGTTGATAAGTATTCGTGCCAGCAATATCGATAACTTACTGGTGTTGATACACACTCAGTCATCGTGCCAGCAATATCGATAACTTCCCGATGTTGATACACACTCAGTCCTCGTACCAGCAATACCGATAACTTCCTAATGTTGATACATACTCAGTCTTCATGCAAGCAATAACTCTCTGATGTTGATAAAAACTCAATCTTCGTGCCAACAAAAACTTCCTTGTGTTGATACAGACTCAGTCTTCGTGCAAGCAATAACTTCCTGATGTTGATACACACTCAGTCCTCGTATCTGCAATATCGATAACTTCCTAATGTTGATACACACTCAGTCCTCGAGCCAGCAATATCGTTCTAATGTTGATACACTTCCTGTGCCAGCAAAAACTTCCTTGTAACTGTGATACACACTCAGTCCTCGTGCCAATATCGCTTCCTGTTGTTGATACACACTCAGTCTTCGTGCCAGCAATATCGATAACTTCCTGATGTTGATACACACTCAGTCCTCGTGCCAGCAATATCTATAACTTCCTGATGTTGATCAGTATTCGTGCCAGCAATATCGATAACTTCCTGATGTTGATACACACTCAGTCCTCGTACCAGCAATATCGATAACTTCCTCATGTTGATACACACTCAGTCCTCGTGCCAGCAATATCGATAACTTCCTGATGTTGATCAGTATTCGTGCCAGCAATATCGATAACTTCCTGATGTTGATACACACTCAGTCCTCGTACCAGCAATACCGATAACTTCCTAATGTTGATACACACTCAGTCCTCGTGCCAGCAATAACTTCCTGATGTTGATACACACTTCCTCGATAACAGTTCCTGATGTTGATACACACTTTTGTGCCAGCAATAACATAACATCCTGTGTTGTACACACTCAGTCCTCGTGCCACTTCATGTTTCTGATATTTCTCGAACTTCCTGATGTTTCTCTGATACATAACTTTCACATCAGTCACCTGCGGCGGCAGGGCGATTAGATCGAATGGTAAATTTTAAAATATCAAACGATTAAGGGAAACTTTTACTTGAATTAAAGATAAGGACATTGAAATATATATGATCATTGAAGTAATCCGTTAGAAGGAGGAACAAAAAGCATCTTAAGTTGTCGTATGAAAGATGACGATGCCACAACTCGGTACGTTGTGCACTGTAGCCACTGCTCGCAATGAAAAACAGATTAGGCATCCAACAACATTTGTTTGTTAGAATCTAGTACCAATATCAAACCGTGGATTACACTTACTACATTCTATATATAAAGGAGGTTATAATGAATTTTGTACGAAAGATATTAAGCTGCAATTACGTTATTGTACATGTCAAGATGAAGACTGAAAATTCATCACTTTGAAGGAAATGTAAATTTAACGTGACTATCTTCAGAGAATTTAAAATAAAGGACGTTTGTTTATTATCAATGTTTTCTTTGTGAAATCTATCGACAAAAACAGGTGACAATAGAACTAGCTGATCAATCTATTGTTTGCCGGATGCTGATGTAAACATGGGTATTGTATACAATTATATATTAACGAGTGGGTAGAAGGCGAACTTCAACGTCGAGTGATCACATCGGACATATATTTCTGGTGTGTACATAGTAGCTACTGTATACGGAATGATCGATAGTGACCGTCTCTCCTTGGTGTAATATTCCATCGCTGGTTTTCATTCATGATACTCCGCGCTTGTATACGCCCCTACCGTAATACAGACGTATGATACTCGCTAAAATTATTGTCACATTGAGTGGCAGACGATTCCTGCCAGATGCGGCGTTTGATTGCACGAGAACGACAGCGAATGTTGCCAGCCACTCCCAACTTCTGTCACCAGGCCGCGCGCCACACTGCATATACCTAATGCATTATAACGCTTTCTTACGCGAGCACAATGTTCCTTAATTATCATGAATCCTTAACATCATATTGACGACAGCATCGCATAGAACAGATAATAGAAATCACAACACAGATACCTATAACACCAATGTGGTTTTAAGAACGAGCCGTGAAACGGAGTGGCGTTCACTAACGCTTTTTTATAAATATTACTCAGATCGTTATAAAGCGGAGAGCGTAGGTTTGTTAAATCACTCGGCAGAGAAGACCCAAGATGTACCGGGTGTCACAGAGCGCATGCCTCCTGCTGTACTTAGCTCAGCTAGTTATACTGGGTCAGTCAACCGACTTATCCGGGCAGCTTAACTCGCTTTCGTCTTCATCTAATCGAGACAAAAGGGAAACCGATGATGACTTTGAAGACAATGTAGCAAAACGATCTAGGGAGCTCGTTGGCAAGCGTTCAGATGCCGAAGGAATAACTGGAGATGAAACATTAGAGAAAAGGCTTATGCCCTACGATGAACTTGAAAAACGTTTGAGACATTTCATCGGAAAACGAACTGACGATGAGCAACAGTTCGAGAAAAAAGCAAGGAGTCGAGGACGATACTTCTTGGGAAAACGAACAGATGACGACGACGATGGAGAAAAACGAGCAAGATATTTCTTAGGGAAACGTGACGACGAGGACATTGACGAAGAAAAACGATACCGGTACTTCCTTGGTAAAAGAGATACCGACGATTTACTAAAGAGGAGATATTATTTCCTCGGTAAAAGGCCTGTCTTGTTGGATGACGACTTCGAAAAAAGGCGGCGATTTTTCTTAGGAAAAAGGAGAAGATTCTTTCTTGGAAAAAGAGATTCAACTTATAACAACGATTTAATAGCTCAGTCTGGCGGCTTTGGCGAGGGTAGTTATGTCGAAGATTCATCCCAAAACGGACTTAGAGATTTCATACAAAAACGAATGAGATACTTTCTAGGCAAGCGCTCAGATGAATTAGACGGGCAGAACTTGGAAACGGAAAAACGCTTCGCAAGACATTTTCTAGGGAGGTAAGATCACGCGCGAGATTCTGTTTTCACATGAACTATGCCTTAGTGGGCCCTCATTATCCCTGGAAATATCCGAAAGTCCAACAAAAGACATTTAAGTTGTTCGATGTGGAAGCTGTACAGACTTGAAGGTGCAACACGTGAAATCCGTACAGGTAAAATTACTTACAAAGTCGGCGTATTGTGATATATATAGTCTAGGTGTACTCGTTGTGCTGAATTGTAACGATATTCATCTAACAGCTGAGAGGATACGGACACTGTTGTGTGTTGTGTGTTCCCCAGTCACAGTACAGTTAACTCGCCCCAGCCCAGGGGAGGGGTAAGGTGGCTCGGGTCGGAGGAAGGACACGATTCATTCTCAGGTTTGGCCACCACTTTCTTCTGTTTGCTGACGACAAAAACACTAATAAACTATACAGATATTTTGAAAAAAATGAATATGTACACGTGAAACATAAATATATTTTGTATAAACATTCTTCATAATCTAACGTTATTTGTTCTAGGTTAGCCATTTCTCTCATTTAAAAACGTTTTTATTTTGTTGAAATATACATAATATATGCCATCGAAAAAACAATATGCGCAGTTGCTTGTATATGACTTAGGCGGTTGGAACCTCAGTATGAAATACGAATGTTGAATGACGGTAGACACAATCAATGTACTTAAGGGGAGCCGCAACACTCGCTGTGATTTTAACAATAAAAGACGTTTCGAAAACAAACAAAACATTTTGCAGATCATGAATTATTTCTCCAGTTAATATCTTATGTCATCAACATGTTAATCGGCACACTAATTTTCAACTATTTTCACGAACGTTATCGTTTGTTCTTCATTCTTCATACTTGAACTTCATTCGTAAAACCATATGAAATACTGATGAAGCTACGAATGAACTGCCGAGTCTTAATAGCGTTTAGCGAATTACAAATAGATATATCTCTTCCAGGATAAATATCACTCAATGAAAATATAAACACGTACTGACTGGAAAGAGCCTTTCTTTGACGCAGAATATTTCTGTTTCATTTAAAAATGCACATGCTGATGAGAGAGACTCTAAATGTATTATTTAGAGTCTCTCTCATCGTCTGTCGCCACGTTGTGGTCCTATTACATATTGATAGATTTCCTCTCGCTATGCTTAACACAACGTTGTTTCGAATCGTCCAGCATTTTCTCACTAACAACGCTACTTACCATATAATCTACCAAATCACCGACCCGAACATTCACTGACACACTAGCAACGTTCGATACATATAACGCAGTGCTATGTTGCTGTTTACTGTTTATGAAAAGCATTTTTCATGTATTATCGTTTGAAATCTCGCTTACGATCGCAATATAATGATTTAATGTTTATTTTGTTCTCTACATTAATGCATTGTGCCATATTCGAAAAATTCATTAATTCGTCACCGCGATTTTCTCATTTATTCTCATTTATTCTTGATTTGAGTGTAGCGCATCATCGTTCATCTGAGAACCTCTGATTTAATTATCTAATAGTGCATTAGGTTTACAGTAAACGACGACATTCCTATTTTTTCTACGTTTTCACTTCAGAAGACTCCATTTAGTCGGATATACATTTTTGCATTTCTGTTTTAAAGCACATTTTAATGAATTCGCATGTATTTGGAATTATTTTGTCATATTATTCGTAGTTTAAAATTAAATTTCTTAGTAAATAACAGGAGCCCATGATAGCATTTGAAATTAATTTTTAGAACATGATATTTTATGACGAAATGTTCAATTATGATATTTGTCAATGTGTTGAAGAAGCGTAAAAAGAAAGAATATTCACCGCATTTCTCTCCTTAAACATTTTGTTATCACTTTTGGTCGACATTAACATCTTAAAATAAAGAAACCAAAACAAACAAACTTTCATTTCAAGTATATAACTATATTTCGTTATTTCTTGCCGAGGATCTTTTTAAAAAAAAGAATAAAAGATTATATTTCGGGTGCTATTTAGTTGTTTGGGTGTTGTTGATAATAACCAACCGAACATATTTAACAGTAAAATGTTCAGTTGCAACAAATATTGGTCATGTGTCTGAGCGTTGAACATATTTAAAAGTAAAATGAACGGCAACAACAAATATTAGTCGTGTTTGGGCGTTAAACATATTTAACAGTAAAAAGTACGGTTGCAACAAATATTGGTTGCGTCTGGGCGTTGAACATGATTAACAGTAAAAAGTATGGTTGCAACAAATATTGGTTGCGTCTGGGCGTTGAACATATTTAACAGTAAAATGTACGGTTGCAACAAATATTGGTTGTGTGTCCGGACGTTAAACATATTTAACAGTAAAAAGTACGTTAACAACAAGTATTAGTCGTGTCTTGGCGTTGAACATATTGAACAGTAAAAAACGACGTAACAACAAATATTGGTCATGTGTCTGAGCGTTGAACATATTTAAAAGTAAAATGAACGGCAACAACAAATATTAGTCGTGTTTGGGCGTTAAACATATTTAACAGTAAAAAGTACGGTTGCAACAAATATTGGTTGCGTCTGGGCGTTGAACATGATTAACAGTAAAAAGTACGGTTGCAACAAATATTGGTTGCGTCTGGGCGTTGAACATATTTAACAGTAAAATGTACGGTTGCAACAAATATTAGTCGTGTGTCTGAGCGTTGAACATATTTACAGTAAAATGCACGTTAACAACAAATATTAGTCGTGTTTGGTTGTTGAACATAGTTAACAGTAAAATGTACGGTTGCAACAAATATTAGTCATGTCTCTGAGCGTTGAACATATTTAACAGTAAAATGTACGGCAACAACAAATATTAGTCGTGTTTGGGCGTTGAACATATTTAACAGTAAAATGTACGGCAACAACAAATATCAGTCGTGTTTGGGCGTTGAACATATTTCAGTGTAAAAAAATGTGACAACAAATTTTGCTCGTTTGTCTGGTCTTTGAACATATTCAACAGTAAAATGTACAGCTGCAACAAATTTTGGTCGTGTCTGGCGTGGAACATATTTAAGAGTGAAAAGCATGGTAACAACAAATATTGGTCATGTTTGGCCGTTGAACATATCCAGGTGTAAAAAAACATGGTAACAACGAATATTGATCGTGTTTGGGCGTTGAACATATTAAAAAGTAAAATGCATTGTTACAACAAATATTGGTCGTGTCTGGGCGTTGAACATATTTTACAGTAAAAAGTACGGTAACAACAAGTATTGGTCGTGTATGGGCGATGAACATATTGAACAGTAAGAAGTACGGCAACAACAAATATCAGTCGTGTTTGGGCGTTGAACATATTTCAGTGTAAAAAAAATGTGACAACAAATTTTGCTCGTTTGTCTGGTCTTTGAACATATTCAACAGTAAAATGTACAGCTGCAACAAATTTTGGTCGTGTCTGGCGTGGAACATATTTAAGAGTGAAAAGCATGGTAACAACAAATTTTGGTCATGTTTGGCCGTTGAACATATCTAGGTGTAAAAAAACATGGTAACAACAAATATTGATCGTGTTTGGGCGTTGAACATATTAAACAGTAAAATGCATTGTTACAACAAATATTGGTCGTGTCTGGGCGTTGAACATATTTTACAGTAAAAAGTACGGTAACAACAAGTATTGGTCGTGTATGGGCGATGAACATATTGAACAGTAAAAAGTATGGTTAAAACAGATATTGATTGTGCATTGAACATATTTTATATTAAAATGTAAGGTAACAACAAATATTGGTCGTGTCTACGCGTTGAACATATTTAACAGTAAAAAGCTTAGTTACAACAAATATTGACGATGTTTAGTCGCTCAACATATTTAACGATAAAAAGTAAGGTAACAACAAGTATTGGTCGTTTCTGGGCGTTGAACACATTTAACATTCAAAAACACGGTAACATCAGATATTGCTCGTGTGTCAGGGCGTTGAACATACTCAACAGTAAAATGTACGGTTACAAGAAATATTGGTGGTGTTTGGGCGTTGAACATATTTAACAGTAAAAAGAACGGTAACAACAAATATTCGTCGTGTCTGGGTGTTTAACGTATTAAACAGTAAAATGTTAGGTAACAACAAATATTGGTTGTGTCTGGGCGTTGAACATATTTAATAGTAAAATGTACGGTTACAACAAATATTGGTAGTGTCTGGGTGTTTAGCATATTTAACAGTAAAATGTCAGCTTACAACACATATGGGTCGTGTCTGGGCGTTGAACATATTTAACAGAAAAAATGCATTGTTACAACAAATATTGGTCGTGTCTAGGCGTTGAACATATTTAACAGTAAAATGCATTGTTACAGCAAATATTGGTCGTGTCTGGGCGTTGAACATATTTAACAGTAAAATGTATTGTTACAGCAAATATTGGTCGTGTCTGGTTGCTGAATATATTGAACAGTATAAGGAACGGTGACAACAAGTATTGATCGTGCCTGAGCATTTAACATATTGCATTGTAAAATGTACGGCAACAACAAATATTAGTCGTGTGTCGATGTTTTGAACATATTTAACAATAAAAAGTACGGTAACAAAAAATATTGGTCGTGTCAGGGCGTTAAACATATTTAACAATAAAAAGGACGGTTATAACAATTATTAGTGGTGTCTTTGCATTGAAAATAGTTAACATTAGAAAACACGGTAACAACAAATATTGGTGGTGTTTGGGCGTTGAACATATTTAACAGTAAAAAGAACGGTAACAACAAATATTCGTCGTGTCTGGGTGTTTAACGTATTAAACAGTAAAATGTTAGGTAACAACAAATATTGGTAGTGTCTGGGCGTTGAACATATTTAATAGTAAAATGTACGGTTACAACAAATATTGGTAGTGTCTGGGTGTTTAGCATATTTAACGGTAAAATGTCAGCTTACAACACATATTGGTCGTGTCTGGGCGTTGAACATATTTAACAGTAAAATGCATTGTTACAACAAATATTGGTCGTGTCTGGGCGTTGAACATATTCA